ACTCGCGATGGCCCGTCGTTTCGCGTTGTGCTGTGAGTGCATCAGTATTTGACAAGTAAGACAATAGTACTCGATGAGCCGCCCGTGGATGCAGACACATCTACTACTAGGACATAGTTCGTGACGCCATCGGTAGAGAACACCGTGACCGGATTTAGACCAGCAGCGTATTCGATTGCCGTGAGCAAGACAGTAGTCCTTTATGTTCTAGCTCACGACCAAGGGAGCTGATGTGCGAAGCCGGGTCTGAGCACTAACGACGTAGTGCGGCGACTCGACTCAGCGGGGTGCGAGAGCGCCAGACGATCAGCGACGGCGAGCCTCACTATCGGATGGGCGAGACTGGAGTCTTGAGGCCCGCGGGGGACTCGCAGATACGAAGTACCAATAAAATCTTATAAATGTTGCCTTTAGGGGAAGGAGAACTTGTTAAGTACATGAGGAAAGCAGGCCCATATATATACTCAGTAATTCGGGTCCGAATCGTACCATACATGCCGAGTCATGGTGACGAGGGAGGACCGAGAAGGATAGAAACGATAGTCTAAGTAGGGTCGCGAAGGACGACGAAGGATTTCGGGAGCGAGGGACGAGTCGAGTGCTGCCGAGACCGAGCGAGAGCGGTCGAGAGGGTGCTGGGCAGGGGAACGGAGGGGCGTCGGGTGGCCGTAGGATATGCAGTGGCGATAAGGGATCAGCGGGGCGGTAGTCGGTCGTGGTGGTCGAGAGTAAGAGGCGGACGCGCGAACGCACACGGCTTGAACGCGGGTGCACGTGATCGTGTTGACTTCGCCTCAAGGAGACACGCTCAGCGCGTAGGCGCGAAAACGGCTCCTCAGAGCATGTGTCGACAGACCTGACCAGGCGCTCTCGGCCTGGTACTCGTGGGCATGGAGCCACTTGACGAGGGTAGCCTTCATGGCGAACTTGAACAAGTCGAGCGGGTGGAACCAGACGATGTTCTGAAGATTAGAGTAAGCAACATGTTCGACAGCACAAGGGAAGAGGAGCATACCCAGATCCTGACAATGCCGGCCCGGCTACCGGAGATACCCTCACTGTCGGTGAAGCCCCAGTCGGCGTAGACGGCGATGATCGTGACGAGACGAGCTGGGCCAAGCAGAACGCACCTGTCAGAGCGAACGACGGGCGCTCCGTGAAGAAGAAGTCACACGAACGGGCGACGAAGAGATATAGTACGTCGGTACCTATGCAACAGAGCAGGTCAGGTCGGGTAACAGTGGGTAGTTGTGTAAGTCTATTTACCTGGATAACGTCTATACTCACTGAGGTACGGAGTGTCCAGAGCGGGGCCCCGAAGACCCGTGTGGGTACCGCATAAAGAAAGCCCGGCAAGCGTGGGCGCCACCATATCGATAAGTCGGGTGTAACATGTAGTCTTCCATGATGACGTGAAGCAGGAACGCAGAACAGAAGGGTCGTCAAACCCGGAGTTGCGTCAAGGCCTCCACGCCCAATACTGGCCCTATAGGCGGACTGAAACACAAGATGTCTGAGCGACAAGAGGTAAGGGCATAGAGCGCATGGTGGGACAACAACTAAGGCCTAAGGCGGTGTGAACATCCGCAGCCGGGGAGGAATCGGACAATTGGGCCACTTGTGACTTGTCTGGCCTTACACTTGTCATTCAATATACATATGCAGTCAGTAGTACACTCCGAGCTCGAGTGTGGGTTCAAGAATCCTCGAGGGGTGGGTACAATGACTTTCATTGTGCAAAGGTGGGATCTCGTGGTGGTACCGGAGCATGTTGCTCATCGTTGCTTGGCGTTGATGCGGAGACGGAACCGTTGCTTCCCACCGTCATGCCTGCTGGCATCTGTCACCCGGCACGTCTAGTCACGTTGAATGTGACAGCTGGCTTCTTTGACTGAGAGCCCTCACCGACTTACCACCATGACCCGGCCCTATGTCACACACACAGAGACAACGTCATATGTGCTCAGCGAAGCCTCTCCTGCTCTTCAGGCTCGAAGCCTTTAGAGTAATGCCAGGGGGCCGCGCCGTTTGGTGTCGATCCTTTTGGTACATGGGGAGGTGGAATACCGACACATATGACGCTCTCCTGACGACAGTAGAGGTTGTCTATCAAAGCTAGTCATCTCCGAGAAATTGGCTTCACTAGTCTTTCATGGTGTCGATCTTCATAAAAGGCCACACGGCAAACATGGATCAGCTTGTCGTCTTTTCGTTGTTCTTGACAACAACTTCATGTATGCGCTATCCTCACCCGTTGTGTTTCGACTCACTCACCCTTACGTCAGGAACTCATGCACATCCCCTCTCAGTCCGTCGCACTAGTTCAATCGTAGAGCGCGCGAGCGCCGAGCAAGCATTCATCTGCATCCAAACCACCAAGCATATCACCTCACCACCCAAAGCTTCGATCGGCTCCTCAACTTTCGCAAGCGCAACGACCGCACCACCGGCCCTGACACTTCCTCTGGTTGTGCTGCGTCGCTTGTCAGTCAGGATGACAACTCGACCAGTCACTTGCAGAAGAATTCCGTTCATGTAGGTATCTTTCACCTTTTCTTCATCAAAGCGATGTTTCTAACTGAAGTGCCATAGATCGGGTTTTCCTGCTAGATTTTTGCCGGCATTGTCTTCATGATCGAGATCCCTCATCCTCGATGTTGACTCTCGTCAATCGTACCACCGCGGTCTCAACAACATTCTGACCTTCTTGATCGACGGCGTCCCGATCGCCATGTCCTCTATCTTGGTTATCACGCTCGCCAAGCACAAGCCCACCATGGCCTGTATCACCACCATCGATGTCACCATCGACCACCCCATGATCAAGCCCTACGACCCCTGCTCTGCCGATTCACTGTCTACATCTCATGTAACGAAAACCAGGACCCTATTGACATCTGTCATTGGTGTCCTCCTTCGGTGACAGGCAAGACTACATAAGCAAGTACCGATAACGGTCCTACAAGCGTTGTCCACCTCCCATCGGCAGACAGAGCAACTCCTTCCATCCTCTCCAGCCATCTTCCCTTCTTCAAGATGCACTCCTCCAGCCTCTCGACACTCGTCTACCTCGCTGTAGCGGTTCTCGCTTCACCTACCGCGTGAGTCCAGACTTTATTCGATTACCTCTTCTTCTCTAACTCCTTTTCTTAGCGTTGACCAATTTCCTCTCAACGTCCGTGATGTCTGGACATCTCCTGTCCGCCGTGACACCTTTGTCAAGCGCGCTCCCGAGCCCGAGGTTGAACATCGTGACCTCGACCAGCGCTCCACCTTCACCATCGAGTTCTCTGAGCGCGCTCCCGCTGAGGGCACCGTCACCTTCTCCAAGAAGGCCTCCGGAGACGGCCTCAACGCCCGCTACCCGTTCTTTGTCAAGTACGACGGTAACCTTGAGGCGAGCGACATCGAGGAGCTCGAGGCGAGGAAGGCCGACCTCGAGAGGTGTGAGGCTGAGCTCGCCGCTCGTGAGGCTGAGGAGAACACTAAGCGCGACGCTGCGGAGCAGGCCGCCAAGCGTGAGGCCGAGGAGGTTGCCAAGCGCGAGGCGGAGGCCATCGCCGAGCGCGAGGAGCGAGCGATCAAGAAGCGTCAGGCTCTTGAGGACATCGAGGCTCGCGAGGCCGCGTTCGAGGCCGCTAAGCGCAACTTCGAGGAGCTTCATATGGGTGGAACTCAGGCGCTCGACATGCACGACTTCGTGGATGGATCAGTTCACTTCTCCAAGCGTGAGCCTCAGTTCAACCTCGCCAGCCTCAGCAGCTTCGGAAATGGCACTGCCAATGGCAACACGGGTTCGACCACCGGTGTCGGTGGCCTCGGTCGCTTCGGTGGTGGGGTCACCGGTCGGTGACAACACCAAGACCGATACCAGCATCAAGCTCCTCGACTCCAAGCCCCTCGACACCTTCGACAAACACACTGAGATCATCTCTCACGGGAGGGCGCCCGGCAAGCTCAAGCGTGTCACCAAGAACATCATCATCGAGTTCCCCTCTCGCAACAAGACCGACGATGTCGAGCACCTTCCCGAGATCGATGTCGATGAATCCACTGTCTGTGGTCTCCGCACACTTGCGGTCGCATAAGAGAAGGTTGAGGACGAGGACCCATCTAAGGTCCTCAAGGAGGGTCCTTCGCCCGGCACGAAGTACCACTCGCTCGACAAGATCATCATAGACATCGAAGGTTTCACCGGAGTCTTCCCGAAGCACGAGTTCGAGATCATCAAGCGCCCGCAGGGTCTCGACCATCTTTGCTCTATGGCTGGTGACGGTGCCAACGATGCTCCCGCTCCTTCCCTTACCACCATCGGTATCACCATCGAGGGTGCCACTGATACCGCTAGTGGTGTCACCGACATTGTCCTCACGAAGCCTGGTCTTTTGACGATTGTTCAAATCATCCGTGGTTCACATATCATCTTCCAGCGCATGCACAACTACACTATCTATGCCTGCATCGTCACGATCTGTATCGTCGTTTGCTTCGCCATCCTCGCGTTCCGCTACAAGTTCGAGTTCTCATCATTCATGGTCCTGATCATTGTCCTCCTCAACGACAGTACCATCCTTACACTCTCGGTCGACCGTGTCTTGCCCTCGAACACTCTGGACTTCTGGGCTTTGGCTGAGATCTTCGTCTACATCATCACGGATGGTCTCTACCTCACCCTGTCGCTGTAAGCCTTATCAGTTCGTTTGTCCCGATTTGATACTGATATCTCACAGGATCACCCACGTCATCATCATCATCAAGGAGACAACATCTTTCCAGGACAAGTTCGGCGTCACTCACCACACCCTTCCCCATCCACTCGAACGACAGACAGCTGCACTCGATCATCTACCTCCAAGTCGTCATCATCTCGCAGGCGCTCATCTTCGCCACCTGTCCACACGGTGTCTTCTTCATGGAGCACCGGTCATGCGCTCTCGCGTTTATGTTCTACTCTACTACGACAAAGGCGCCCCGACAGCACTGCGCAATCCTGCTGCTCGTGCTCGTCATGAATGTCGTATCAAGGGTGACGGAGGTCGCTGGAGGCTATCACTGACGTGAGAAAGTCTGATCAGAAGGTCCGAAGGCGAGGCAGGAAGATGTCTGTTGATGTCACCGATGTAGTCTGCGACCAAGCGATGGCTGTTTTTGCGACGGACAGTGTGTTCCTCGATGACTACGAAATGTAAAATACATCGCCGCTCTGGCATACAGTTACGATGCTTTTTTTCTGCGACACAGTTCCATTGCCACTCATGTGGTGCGAGCGTGATTCTTCTCTAGAAGATTCTGGGCTGCATAGCCGCCGGAGCTGTGCGCTCTTATAAGTTCAGCTCGCATGCCTCTGTCCAACGCTCTCACACATCTTCACCCACCCAGGTACATCACCATGACTCTCCCCAGTTCTCAGCGCGATGTTTTCGACGAGACCCAAACAGCCCAGCAAGAGGGCGATAGCTTTTGGCGTGTCTTTCTGGACACTTGTGAGGAGGAGATCAAGGACTGGCTCCAGACTAGTGCCAGCGCCATGGGCAACGCGATTGCTTACGTACGTGACATCACATTGTCTACCTTCTACTGGGTTTCTGACAGACATTTAGAGCAGTCTCTTCGCTGCCGCAGTGGCAACCTTTCTGAACGACCTCTATCAAAACCTCAACGCGAACACGAATTCGACAGAGACCACCGTAAACATACTATGGCTTCTTGCCCTCGTCTACTCCATCATAGCAGCCCTGCTGGCTTCAATGGTGCAAGACTGGCTGGCTAGGGCGCTTAAAAGCAATACCAGACCAAAGACACAGACGATAGAAAGGTTTGCCCAAGCCAGACTGACAGCATATGCGAAGCTATCGCACTATCGGCTGGACTCCCTTGGAACCTTCATCTTGGGGCTGATGCAAGTTGCTGTGATACTCTTTTTGATTGGCTTGTGTCTCCGCATCTACCTTCTCAATAGTCTTGTTGGCAAAGTTCTTATTGCAAACTGTGGATTTGCAGGTTTACTCTTCATTGTCGCCAGCATTCTCCCATTATTCAACCCAGGATCGCCTTATACATTGCCTATCAGCCACGTGCTAACGGCTGTCGTATATGGTTTGGCAACCATCATGGCCTCTCTATCGCTCTTTGGCATCATCATCTGCATCGCGATAAGCAGCTGGGTGAAGGAACGACGTTTCCATATCCGCGATCTTGATCCCCGACCAATTCAAGGTTGCTTTGAGGATCCCACAGTGTCTGTGCAGATTCTGCGCATTCTATGTGGTGCAGTCATCCATCGAAGATCCTTTGAGGAGGTCAAGAAGATGATACAACACGTCAGCAAGCCCGCACACGCTGCCAGGTTCATTTCGGGACGAAGACTGGCATTTCTACTGGAGCGCATGCATGGAGTGCTGTTCAAAACTCCTGCATACTTACGCTACGCAGCCCGACGCTGGCTTAACTTGGAACTTGATGGTGTATCTGACTTCCTGGTCAACATTCGGGCTAATAGAGCCAGTATGAGGAGTGTCACAGAAGCCCTCCAGCACGAGGTCAACTCTGTACATGCGGCAGAAGGCTCTATACGCCTTCTCCAGTTGCTTGTATTGGCAGATACTGCCGTGGATAACCTCACACAAGCTCACAGTAATCAGGACGAACGGTGGAAGTACTTTCGAATGATCATAGGCGTATTGCCAGCGTTCGCAGCGTGTGTGGGCGAGCTGAACACCGACGCTTTGGATCGTCGTGACATCTCATTACATACCGCGATTGCCAGCTTCCGTTGGGCACTTATTGTGGCGATGGGACACATCGAGAGACGGGATGGTGACCCAGCAGGAACTAAAGCTCGGGACATCATACGCACCATATTTGTCGAACTTGCCGCCGTTGAGGGTCTTAAGCTCCAAAGGGTTTCCTCCGAAGATCACGAGAGCCTAGATGAGCTCTTCGGGGATGCTCGTGATCCTCGCTTGGAACAGGCAGCGCGGCTCGAGCTGGCAGCTCGCAATGCATTCACCCTATTGGTTGGTGTTGGTCAGTGCAACTGGGAACGGGGCGTTTGGCAGAAGCCCGATGCACGATATATACCCGAGGGCGGACTTGGTATGTGGGACTGGCACCACCTTCTCGTGGAAACCGAACTACGACGTCGATCAGCATCGGATGAGCTTCAAGAGTTCCTTACTCAGGAGCATGTCAGGGACTTGGTGCGGGCGGGCTCAGACCCAATCTTGTTTGCGACCCTGAAGCTTGATCCAATCGCGGTCGATGCAGTGCGCAACCTTGCGAAAGTCGTCGACATCCCGGGCACCACGATGGATCGTAGCGATTCCCGTATCGAATTCCAGGATATTCCTCAGGTCGGGCCTACCGGCACAAGCAAAGTGTCAGTGGTTTATGGTATCCAAGAGGGTTCTGTCGAGGGTGGCACGGACGAATCGGGTCCACTTATACATGCAGGCTCATCTACGGCCGATTAGGAAATCGTGTGGGAGCTGGACCGAGCCTAGACGTGTACTACTGGTACTAGTATGGTTGTGACACACCATTTCCCGCTCCATCCCGTCCTCCTCACATGTATAATTTCGTGTTAGTTCCCTTCCCTGTATTTGTTACCAGTACTCCCACGATTAACTACACTACTGAACATCTTGGACATCTAGGCCCTTCTGGCCCTTCTCCTCTCTCCGACTCCTTGCCTGTGTTTCATACATATACTTCGGTTTCCGGGCCCGAATAGCCGTCTCTACTTAGTCTACGCGTGGTTGAGCTTGCTAGCTGGTTTGTGCATCTCTTGCTTAAGAACTTTGACGATGTAAACTGCACTCTGATAAAATTACGTGACTGCGACATCTTGAGTGCACTACCGAAACTGTTTCTGATACGTGACTTGGCCAGATATGATGCATGGCTACTTCAATGAATGATAGGAGAAGTGGCCCTATGATGTCATAGTATACACTAATAACACAGCAGCATGCCGATGGCAACGCGAATACGGACCGTTAACAAGACGAGGGTGTAGAGGATGGGATGGACAAGGAAGGAGTCATCCACACCACGAGTGCGCTCCGTATACGGGACTGTGTCCGAAAAGCAAGATCCGTATGCGCATACATCGTGGCAAGGGCCACCACACTCGTACGGCAAGGACAGATAACTTGATTGCTCCCACCGCGTGCTCCGTCCCTTCGTCAGCCGAGGGACGTCTCCAGACTGGTCCACGGTGTTAAGCGCCAGCCCGATGAGGTAAGTCTTTCAGCGCTTACCTCGAGTTGAAAAGCTTGCGACGCAACCGGGGGAGGCGCCTTTCCCTTTCCCTTACGCTTCGATGGTAGGACTTCCCCTTCATCCAGTGTCCTCGCCGTACTGGCCGCGTGTGTGTCGATGAGTACAGAAACGCGACGCAGGCCATCATCCTTCCTCTTGTCACGGGCTTGCTGTTCGCCTTCCGCCTCTGCCTGCAGCTGCTCCCTCTGGGCTCTCTTAGCAGCGGCACGCTCGGCCCGGGTGGGCTCAACTACGTGGGGCATGGACCGGCCATTCCCAGCGCCTCGAGAGCGCGTTGTCATGCCTTTGGAGCTGCTCGCTTGAGGTGCGTCTTCATCGCTGTCAGACGTCCTAATGGGGAAGTAATGAATGGGTGTGAACCTAGCGAAGCACGCAATACGTACTCTTCCGGGGTATCTGGCGGCGCCAGACGTGCTCGTTTAGGCCGTCGAGTTCCCGTGCCCTCTTCGCCTGAAGATAGGCGGTAGAGGTGAGGTAGGCCGTGTCTTGTTCGGCCGCGATGGTCCGGCCTTCGCTGACGACTTGTCCTTCGCAGGCTTGGTGTTCGAACGATTTGATTTGGAAGCCGTTTTGGGGGCTCCGCGACCGCGCCCTCGACCACGGCCACGACCACGGCCACCACTGGGCATGTGTGTGGAACGAAGAGGGTGAGAGAGGCAATGGCGGGGGCAAAGAAGGAGCGTCACGGTTATCCGTTGAACTCCAAGTCTCAATCCGGGACTGACCGATTGTGTATCCGCGCGTCTGCTCCCCGCGCGTCTGGTTTTGTACTCCCACCATTCTCGTTACCTACCCTGCCAATTTGTCTCTGTTCATATTCTATGTATCTTGAATGGCATTCTGGTGCACGAAATGCCACCACTCCTGTCCCACCGCTCGCGCACGAGCTGAGCATATCAAGTTCCACTGTTTTCCCAAGCCCGTCGAACACAACGCCGAGCGTTTTCTGCACGCTCATCTCAATGGTACGTCTCATATATCTACCAATATATCAGTTCTATTTCTAATGAACTTTTAGCACGACCTTGCGACGTGAACGGCAACTTTCTGGATCCCGAGATGCCTGCACCAGCACTTCCGCCTTTGCCTGAGAACCCATATGATCCTTTCCATGGTCGCCCTAGCTTCGAGATGGCCGAACTCCTCTTCGAGAAGATACAATGCTCGGAGGAGGACGTGGATCGCGCCTTTCGCATCTGGAAAGCACAGGCCATCGAGAAGAGTGTCGATCCGACCTCTATGTTCCACGGCATGCGTGATATGCTCACAGCTATTGACGCAATCCCATACGGCGAAGGCGGCTGGACGACCTTCACGGTTTGCTATACCGGCCCGGTAAATGCAGACTCACCATCGTGGATGCGGCGCTCCTTTCTGGTGCATGCGCGCGACATTCGCCAAGTGATGCGCAATCTGCTCGGGAATGCGGAGTTTGATGGGAAGTTCGACTACGTTGCCAACGAGGAGTTTGTCAGTGGAAAGAGGAGGTATTCGGATTTCATGTCCGGTCAATGGGCTACCAACGAATCAGTACGCGACCGTCTTACTTTGATCGACCTGCATATACTGACTATCCGCAGACAACCATTGCAGCTGATCCTGCCACTCACGGAGCCATGTTAGTCCCCATTGTTCTGGGCGCAGACAAGACAACGGTATCGGTTGCCACTGGCCATACCGAGTATCATCCCTCGTATGCGTCCCTTGGGAATGTACACAATGGTGTTCGACGCGGGCACGGCGATGCGGTCATTCCAATCGCGTTCTTAGCCATCCCTAAAGGTCAGTCTTGACTGTTCCTTGTACGAAGAGCTGTTAATCATGCTGTTAGGACTCAACGCGGCTGAGGAGAGCAGCGCAGACTTCCGGCTCTGGAAGAAGCAAGTCTACCACGGCACTATCGCGCAGGTTCTGATGCCGCTCAAGCCGGCCATGTCAAAACCCGAGGTCGTACGCTGCCCTGACGGACACTATCGCCGTGCCATCTTCTCCATAGGGCCCTTCATTGCCGACTACCCCGAGCAGGTATATCTTTCCGGGATCGTCCAAGGCTGGTGCCCTAAGTATGTAACCGTCACGCTTGTATTGTATGGAATGATACTGATCGTGATACAGATGTCTTGCGCTCAATACCAATCTGGACGAGATCGACACGCCTCGCTTCCGGGAGCTCACTCAAAACCTTCAAGAGGATTTTCAGGATGACGAAGACCTGCTTTGGGATTCTTTCGGCCTCGCACCAGGTCTTATGGTACTTTTGCATCTGCGCTCTGCTCGGGAGATCAATGCTGATCTGTTCCAGCCATTCACAGAGTTCGCCCAGATTGCCCTCGTCGTCACGGAGCGCGCGGCGCTCGAGGACATGCGCGCTCACGGGCTCGTTCAACACGACACCGCCTTCGCCGGCCACTCGCTCGGCGAGTACTCCGCACTCGCGTCCATCGCAGACATTCTTCCTACTTCTGCTCTCGTCGACGTTGTCTTCTACCGTGGCATCACTATGCAGCGTGCCGCGGAGCGCGATGCTGCTGGCCGCTCAAACTACGCTATGTCCGCAGTCAACCCCAGCCGCGCCAACAAGAGCTTCTCGAACGCCGCACTCCGTGAGATCGTCGAAACCGTCGCGACGCGCAGTGACTGCTTTGTTG